AGCCAGTTAAGCGTCTGACTCAGTTTAGCTCAGGTCATGATCTCACAGTTCATGGGTTCGAGCCCCACATCAGGCTTTGCACTGATAGCATTCGAAGCCTGCTTGGAATTCTCTCTCTCCTCTCTGCCCCTTCCCCCACTTGCATGTGCATTTTCTCTCTCTCTCTCTCTCTCTCTCTCTCTCTCTCAAAATAAAGAAATAAACTTTAAAAAAATAAATAGGGGCGACTGGGTGGCTCAGTCGGTCAAGTGTCCGACTTTGGCTCAGGTGACAATCTCACGGTTCGTGGGTTCGAGCCCTGTGTCCGGCTCTGTGCTGACAGCTCAGCCTGGAGCCTGCTTTGGACTCTGTGTCTCCCTCTCTCTCTGCTCCTCCCCCACTCATGCTCTCTGTCTCTGCCTCTGTCTCTGTCTCTGCCTCTGTCTCTCTCTCAAAAATAAACATTAAAAAATGTTTTTAATAAAAAAAAAATAAATAAAATGTGGTTTTTCTAGGAGGGAGGGAGCTTTCCCAGCATGGCAATGCTTATACCACTAACCTTAACTAAAGAATACAGATACATTACTAAATTTACATTTTACTACTTCAAACTGGTTAACTATACTTTATACATCGTAATTCATTTTTATTTGTAGAAGTTACAGGTAATTGCCTTCCAACCCTTACCAGGTTGAAAGATAGCAACAACAAAAAACAAAAAACAAAAAAAAAAATAGTGCTACAAGACAGCTGTACTATCATTTCTGTGCTTCCAATTTGACATAAGGTAGCGATTTCAGATGTACGTAACTCTTACATGACCTGATTCTTGGACTCAGGAAATATTACTTAATGGCATCTGGGCTTGTCACATTTATCTAACCTGCACTATTTGGGAGGGATTATTTAATAATATCCGAATTATTATTCCATACAATCATTTTCTACTCGTTTGATCGTGTTTTCTTTTTTTTTTTTTTCTTGTTTATGTTTATTTAGTTTGAGAGAGGGAGAGAGAGAATGAGTGGGGCAAGGGCAGAGAGAGAGAGAGGGAAAGAGAGAATCCCAAGCAGGCTCCATGCTGTCAGTGCAGAGCCTGACCTGGGGTTCAATCCCACCACCATGAGATCATGATCTGAGCCAAAATCAAGAGTCAAACACTTCACCAACTGAGCCACCCAGGTGCTCTGATCATGTTTTCTAATATTTATTGGCTATTTTTAGAAAGCTTGAAAAGTATCACACTGGGTCAATGAATATCTACATATTCCCAAGGGCCACTGAGTAATCGAAGCTAAATTAGAACTACAAACACAAAATATCATCATAAAGTTGCTTTGAACATGGCGTCTCTTAAGTACTTGGCTATCTCTAAAACTAGTTGTTGGGCACAGAGCCCAACACGGGGCTCGAACTCACGGACCACGAGATCATGACCTGAGCTGAAGTTGGATGCTTACCAACTGAGCCACCCAGGCGCCCCACCCTAGTCTTTACTAATTAAGTATTACTAATGAGCAAACCTTCTATTTGTACCTCTGTGCCTGAAAACTTGCCCTATACACAATTTTCATGTCTTAGATATGAGGTCATAGGAACATACGCCCACTCAAGCCCACCTATCATAAGAAATGTTAGTAATTACATGAGGCCTAAAGGTCTAGAACCAGTAACTAGAAATCTCTCTCCCTCTCTCTCCCTCTCTCTCTCCCTCCCTCCCGCCTTCCCTCCCTCACTTTCTCTTTCTATCTTTTCCTATTCATCAGTGCACCAGGACCCAATTTGGATATCCAAAAGAGTTCAGTCTCTACATATACATCTGTCATCCACCCTGGTCCAATTACTCGTAGTCAAAATAATAAGGTTCTCTGGCCCTCTACTCTCTTGCCAGGGCATACTGAAATAGATTCCCTGAGAAAGGCTATGAGCAAACTTTCTAAGAAGGTATGAATGTGGATGGGAAATGATTACTATCTCTGGCACCTTTCATGATCATTGTCCAAGACCCCCCCCCCCCCCCCAGAGATTAGTGGTCCCAAATGCTGAGACTTCTTAGAAAAATGTATCTGGAACATTCTGGAAATTTCACAATATTCTATAAATAAGACTTCGGAGAGTGTTCTAAGATCCAAAAGAAATAAGGCACTAATAATATTGCCTGTGCCACAGGATACATAATTAAAGTATCGGATTTCAACTTAACTTTGTATATAAAAATAAGGACCAAAAAACATGTATCTAACAATACTGACCACATCCATTCTTCTATGAGTATAAAGGGGATACAAAAAGTATCATAGGGGGAAAGTCCAAGCAAAGATTAGGTCCACCACTCAAAGCGGAGTTTGAGGCTTGATTTATCTGTTCAGTTCATTACGCCTCGCTCCTGACCAGGCAACACTTCACTGGTTGATCTGAAACTAAGCCAAAACAGATTCGTGTATCTAATTTATCAATGGACTCATACAGAATAGAGGACACACATAGATTAAAGACAATGGACAAGATCCCTCTTCATACCATGGTGACAAAATGGACCCTCCCTAAAAATGCCTCTGGTGATCCACAGTGACGGAATACTGAAAAAGAGGGGCTTATGAAGTATTGAGATAAAGAACGGGCTTTCTTATCTGGGCCCCTTGAAAAACCCCTCTGAGAGTTAGACTGAAACAGTCATACATTAGTTCCTATGGCGAAATCATCAACAAAATAATTTCTAAATTTCTACAATTTAGTCTGGTCCTGGTTTCCTGTACATGTCTCCAGAATTCTCAAAATCCACAACGACTAAAAGTAAGATCTTCGTAGATCCTTAAAATGTTAACGTATCCACCTAAATATGTGTCTCTCTGTTGTCCCAGTGAGACAAGCTGGGTGCTGCGCGTGGAGGGATAAGGCCCATTGATTTCTTTATCTCAGATGAGCAAATGTCAGCTCCACAAAAGTTATTTCTGGCCAATACTTTAACCAAGCAACATTAATGAATGTCACCACAAAATATTCTGTTCTGTTCATCTGGAGGGCATCATCACTTACTGAAAGTCTGCCTCGCTCATGAGAAGCTTCTTAAATATGTCTCTCTCGTGTATGAGGCTTTAAATTCCACACAGTTTTTTATTTATTTATTTGCAGTTTTTATTGAGGTGGAATTGACTTACAAATTGTAAGATATTTGGGGCGCCTGGGTGGCTCAGTCGGTTAAGCAGCCGACTTCGGCTCGGGTCATGATCTCGCGGTCCCTGAGTTCGAGCCCCACGTCGGGCTCTGGGCTGACACCTCAGAGCCTGGAGCCTGTTTCAGATTTTGTGTCTCCCTCTCTCTGACCCTCCCCCGTTCATGCTCTGTCTCTCTGTGTCTCAAAAATAAATAAACGTTAAAAAAAATTTTTTTTTAATTGTAAGATATTTAAAGTGTGCATCATGGTGCTTTGATATATGTGTATGGCATGAAAGGACTCTCTCCCCATCTAGTTAATTAACACACCCATTACCTCTTCATCTTGACCTAGTGGTTTTTGGGGGTTTGGGTTTTGGTTTTTTGTTTTGTTGTGAGTGTATGTGAGAAAAAGAGAGAGAACACTTAAGTCCTACCGTCCTAGCCCATTTCAATTATAGGACATAGTGTGCTCAACTATGGTCACTGAATTTCACATCAGACCCGCAGACCTCATTCACCTTGAAACTGAGAGCTTGTAAATTTCACTGTTCACAAACTATTGAATATGTAACGGTTTTAAAGATTCTAAGAGTAAAAGAGCCTTAAAATTGTGTCAACTGAATGTTCAAATTGCTACTAAAAAAGGAAATGGACCATACACATTAAATGAGCTTCAAATGGCGTACAGGTGTCCCCCACTTTTTGAAAGTTCCCAGTTACGTGACTTCACTTCTACAAAACACCTGCATTAGTACCTGTTTTCACTAACTGCATGAGATCTGAAGAAGATATTGCCTGCTGCATTAAAAAGGCAAAAAGCAAAAATAGCATGCAATGTTGGTTTTGCAGCAAACCATTACAGAAGCTGTGGGCACTGTGAGCAGTGAGAGTGGAGCGGCCCGGGGGACCCGGGGGCGGGGGGGGGGGCGCCAAGCTCCTTTCCGAGGACCTACATTCAGCATCTCAGCATGAAACCATCATAGCTTTGAACTGTGTCTGGGCGCATCAGTGCTTTATCTTGATTTATTCTGTGCATCCATTAGCAAGATGTGTCCAAAGGTATCTGAAAAGCCTAAGAGTGGTTATTTTTTGGGTCCAGCACACTCCAATACTTTCCCATATAAGTTCGTGGTAATTGCTTCTTCACTTCACACCATTTTGGCCTATGAAAGGTCTCCTAGGATCAACTTTACTTTTGGATAGGAGGGGTAACCTGTATTGGAACTATCACTAGCTGTCATTACTGTCCATTAGACCTGGCCAATAAATGCTATGAAAATATTCCAATATCATGCCTTCTTCTAACGAATTCTTGTTAGCCAAACCCCCTGTATTCACCACCACCTCCCTCCCCACCCCCCCCACCCCCACAAAGCTGGGACATTTAGATCTGCTTAGACTAAGAGTAGGGCATCTGGGTGGCTCAGTCGGTTAGGTGTCCAATTCCTGATTTCGGCTCAGGTCATGATCTCAGGGTTGTGAGGTAGAGCCCCATAGTGGGCTCCCAACTGGGCACAAAGCTTGCTTAAGATTCTGTCTCTCTCTGCCCCTCCCCCTCTTACGTGTGCAAGTACATGCTCTCTCTCTTTCTCTCTCAAAAACAAAAATACATAAATAAAAGAAGCAATATTTGAAATGCTATGAAATTGCACAGACGATGTGGAAAAGTTAGGTGGCTAACTTCCACCTCTACCAATATGTTCTTTTCATCTCTACGTCAGCCATGTTACCAGCGTGATGAATGCCTGGAACATGATAACTATTCCTCTATGTTTAAAGTGTTCAAAAAAATAAGTGAATACATTAATAAATAAATCCAGAGCAAAGCAAAAAAAAAAAAAAAACAACCTTTATTATGTGGAGAATCAAGGTCACAGAAGAAGTAGATACATCTCTTGCCCCAGGATGTCGGAAGAGGTGGCGTTTTTGGTTTAAGAAGAGTGGAGACCAGCGGAGCCAGCCCCTGATTCATATCTGGATTGTAAGAAGTGTGGTAGTGGGTAAAATAACATAGTCCATCTTCCCATCAGACTGTACCAAAAAGCAAGGCGACTTTGGGGCTTTCTTGTGTTTTTTGTTTTCGCCTTCATTAACACAACATAATTTCCCATTTCGACATGCCACTTCATAGATTTCCCCCATCTCGCATTTCTTCCGGCAGTAGCCTGTTATATTACTAAAGCATTTCCTGGGTCATGCCGTATCTGTGCACAGAAAACAACATTGGACGCGGATTAGTTCCGGAGGCAGAGTAGAAGGCGTGTGTGGTTCCCGTAAGTTTTGGCCTCCTGTGGTTCCAAAGTCAACCTTATGCTGGTGAGAGAAAACGAAGCGCCTCCTCCTGGCAAATCATCCCAAATTAAGGACATCAAAACCCCAGGCTCCTAGCCAATACCCAGTTATCTCTGAGAACATCAGAACTATATGACCAGAAAAGAGAGACCAACGCATGGTTATCAAGTGTTGTTATGTCCCACCCCTGGACTCTGGCAAATCTGACTCTGTCTCCCATGCTCCAAAGTCAGTACTCGCTCAGCCTTACCCCGGTCCAATGTCCCCAAAGAGTGCCAACTTGCCACCGTGGCATGACTCAAAGCCAAGTTAACCTTTAAAAGAGTATCACAGACAGGGCTTTTTAAGTTAAGAGAGACAGTGGGTTTCACACTCATTGACACGGGCAGCAGAAATCTCCCTTTGCCAACACCTCGTGGGTCTCCGCAATAAATGCTGCAGAGAACTTCCTTTATCCAGCCTCTGTGTCTTCATAACCATGCTCCTCCTGGCTCTGCTCTCTCTCTCTCTCTCTCTCTCTCTCTCTCTCTCTCTCTCTCCTCCTTTTTGTCTCAAATAAATGTGTTGCCCAGGGAATCAAACTCAATTCCATGTGTACCCATCTCCCTAGAGATCCAAACTATTCGGAGTATTGTACTGAGGTCCTAAATCGCCTGCTTTTAATTCTTTATTTGCCCCTGTACCCATATTTGGACAAGCTCACAGAACAAAGAGGGAGAAAAGAGACATTTCCTCACATGAAATTCAATCATTATGAAACTGGGTCATCCATACTCAATCGACAGATGAGAAAACTGAAATTCAAAGGGAATAATTAGCCCGATTCATACAACTAACCAGAGATCAAGATATATTTTAACCTCACATCTACATGATTCCAAAGCTTGTACTGTTCTCATTACTGTTGTAGCATAGGCTGAAAATGAGTTTGGATGGAAAAAGGCATGGTGAGGTTCCTGTGTGAAAACTATGTTCAATTACAAAGATCATTCTAGAGGATGGGTTCATGCCTCCCTTTGGAAAGGACTTCCAAGAGTACAGCCCTGATGTCTTCTTACCACCCTGAATGCTTTCTTCTAAGACACAGACTCAGGGAGAGTGGGTACTTTTGATGACATTGGCAAGACAGCAACAATCTGAAGGCCCTGGCTCCGCTCCTACAGACAGAGTAGTATCTCCTAGGGTTTCATGGTACATTTGGACAAGTTACCTGCTGGTAGGACCTCAAAGGGCAGCATAATGAGAACCAGAAACAGCTTCATGTTTACAGACTTCCCAAGAGAAACAGGCAGCACAATTTCGTTGCCCAGCGATCTCTGTCACACACGGTCTTTCAAGAACGAAACTAGAGTTTTGGGTGCTATCAGCATTCTGAGCTCTCGTTTTAACCCATATGGACGGACAGGAAATCCAAGCCTACCCTACCTTCATTCCCATATTTGGAGTTCACAGTTACAGAATGTTCCATCGCATCACACCCACTCTTCTTTACTCAGCATGTGAGCTCCCAGAGAGCAGGAACATTGATTTCTCCACCTGGGCCATCAGCCCAATTGGTTGGTCATATGTCCTTATTTGTGTGGGTCAGTCCTAGTTTATTCCTCTTGTTCCAATGTCCCATCCAGCTGGTGCCAACTTTTACTCGCAAAAGTAACACATTTGGAAGATTAAGTAAATCATTAGCTGATAAAGGCAGACACATACACACATCCGATAGTAATTTTTTTACTGTATGAAACTATTGTAGGAAAAATAGTATTTTTACATATGAAACTTCCAGAAAGTCATCTAGTCTTAATGCATCTTAAGACTGCCTTAAGGTTTGCCCAGATAAATTTGGTATTACTTTGGAGTCTCCAGTGAAGTCCTCTCCAGTACAGAGCAATTCTACAAATGAAGTCTTTCAAAAGAGCAAATTAAAAAAAAAAAAAAAAAAGATCAGATCTCATTAGCACAGTGTTCAACTCATTGTGAACTAGCCCCTGCTAGTCTCTGCTCACCTCTCTAGGCATTTTAGAGAACCACTTATGTTTCTGCCAAATTGGTGTGGGTGCCTCAACCCAACTTGTTACTTCCACAACCTGTTTCTTTGCACATTTAAATCTCTCTTGGGGTGCCTGGGTGGCTCAGTCGGTTAAGTGGCCGACTTCGGCTCAGATCATGATCTCGCGGTCCGTGAGTTCGAGCCCCGCGTTGGGCTCTGTGCTGACCGCTCGGAGCCTGGAGCCTGTTTCCGATTCTGTGTCTCCCTCCCTCTCTCTGCCCCTCCCCCGTTCATGCTCTGTCTCTCTCTCTGTCTCAAAAAGAAATAAACATTAAAAATAAATAAATAAATAATCTCTCTTCACAAATTTATATCATACTCTCCCATCCTGTCCATCAAGCTGGCCCTATTGAGCTCCTAATTTTCCTTCCAAACCGAGTTCAGTCATCTCCACATCTGTGAAAGTTTCCCTTGACCCAACTACATATGCTGCAAACTCCCTTCTTTTGTCAACACTGTATCTTGTCCATATTTTTGCTGGCGGTCACAATACGTCATGTTCCAATTATTTGTTCATCTGTAATAATCTATGAGCCCCTCAAGGGCAGGCCACTGGCCTTGTTTAATTTGGAGTTCTTAATGCACAACACAAAACCCATGCTATATTCTCAGTGTGTAATTACGGAATGAATGATTGCAAAGAACCAAACAAATTATTGCTCTATAAAATACCCAAGGCAGTAATGAAGTTAATTAAGACATTTCCTAAAGAATTCTGTTTACCATGTTTTCCAATTTCTGGACACCAGAACTTTGAATTTACAGTAATTAGTAATTACAGTAATTTTGAATTACAGCCCACCCAAATAGCTTTCCGTGACCACAAAGAATCTGGGAATATGTGAAGGCTGAATAAATATTTGTTGATGATAATGAAACTTGTATCACAACACAGGGTTCAGGCTACCGCTAGGGTTAGTAATGAATACTGTGTATAGCATATTATGTTTGCCAGTAACCCGAGTGAATTAAATTTGTCAAGGAGGAGGAAGTGCCAAATGCTACTGATATTTCAAGATGAGGAACAAGAATTGACCAGTGGCCCCAACAGATCTGTACTAGTCCCACCAGTACCTCATTGGTTTCAGCTCAATGACCTCTTACATGTGCCTACTATATGACAAATGCATTTTGTATACATCACTTACTTTAAGCCTTTGCATTTATGAAGTACAAAATTAATACCTCTCTCTTTCCAGTAGGAAAACTACGATTTAGGGAATTGCTAATGTGTCCAATGTCACACAGCTAGTAGGGAATGAACTAGGATCAACCCAGGTTCTCCATGAACCTAAAACTAAAGGCCTTAGCCATTAGCTAACTTGCCTCTTTTGGGCAGTTGCCTCCTTTGGGTCAGTCTTTGGGAGGCCAAGACAAAATATTCAAATACAAGATGTTGCTTTGTTCACAAAATTTATTGGTCATGCACTTGACTGGACATCCTCCCACCCACCTCCTTATATCCCACTCACCACTCAGAGAGCAACCTATATTGAGAGAATTCGTATTTCTGATTTTCACAGGTGACACTGTTACATCCTGGAAGTAATATCTCTTGTCTGCTTGAATAGATTCCTAAGTCTTGGTTGGTCAACTCTTTGTCACCTGTGTCAACTCTTTAATATCAGAGAGACCTTTTGCAATCCTTATGGGGCACAAAAAGCACACAGTCTCATTTTCAAAGCCATTTGTGGCTAAGCAAGAGATTTCCCCTTGAGTAGACTGGGATGCATAATTAAATGTTGCATTTTAGTTGTGGTCATTAAAAAGAAAAATCACCCATCAACGTTTGTAACTGCACCTCCCACTGTGACCCACAGTCATACAAATTGCTTTTAATACCTTACTTATAAATGGACTTTAAATGTGTTATATTTCTTAGAAATATCCTCTGAATTCTACTCAAGATGTTATCGTCCCCAAATGTTGAATAGGCTAAATCCAGACAAGAAATAGGATTCCTAATTCCCTCTTACAAAGAGGGGAGGACTCAAGCAAGATTCTTTTGTTATTCTTTCTTTAGAGATGTGAGGAAGTTGAATTAACACTTCATGCTAGAAAAAATCAGACACACAGACAAACAAAAAAGGTGACAATAGACCACCCATACTCTTGCCTCTGTTGTTAACATACTGATGTTTAGCCTTCTAGATATTACACTCCAAAAGTCATTTATTTTGACAACTGTGTAAGAAGTAAGATGAAATAAAGTGAGCTTGCTTGCTTTTCAGCCACTCGGTTTAAAATAGAGTCTGCTAGTCAACACTCCCTGGGCACACACATATTTATAAGCATACAAAGTCTACATTCATTTCTCTGATCCAAGAAACAGGCCTATTGGCAAAGCAGACATGACCCAATACAGAAGAACCACATTCGGCTATGTTTGCTATCCACCATTATGCCTAAATATATGCCACCAGATAGTTTCAGAAAAATAAAAAATATAAAAGAAGAACTTAAATGAATAATAAGGATAAATAACTTCAAAGGAAATAAAGCTAATAATGAGGACAAAAGAGAATTATTAAAAATGGTAAGAGTGACAGATTTGACTACATAAAGTGCATAACATCTTTATAACAAAATGCATGCAGGAGAGGGTTCAAGCCAGTGTAAGACCTGGGTCAGGTCATGGTCTCACAGTCATGGGATTCAGCCCTGTGTCGGGCTCCATGCTCATCATGGAGCCTGCTTGGGATTCTCTCTCTCCCTCTCTCTCTGTCCCTCCCCCACTCTCTCTCTCTCTTTCACTCTCTCAAAATACATAAACTTAAAAAAAAGATAATCAGAGTAGAATAAAATTTATAAATGCATTCTATACCGTAAAAGGATTAAAATCCATAATATATAAAGAGTGTTTACAAATCAATAACAAAATGACAAATGACCCAGTAGAAAATAGGCAAGCAATATCATAGAAACAAAGTATGTATGTGCTTCTTGCAGAAGGTTGATATAAATTTAGAAATACATGGGGCGCTTGGGTGGCGCAGTCGGTTAAGCATCCGACTTCAGCCAGGTCACGATCTCGCGGTCTGTGAGTTCGAGCCCCGCGTCAGGCTCTGGGCTGATGGCTCGGAGCCTGGAGCCTGTTTCCAATTCTGTGTCTCCCTCTCTCTCTGCCCCTCCCCCGTTCATGCTCTGTCTCTCTCTGTCCCAAAAATAAATAAACGTTGAAAAAAAAATTTTTTTTTTTAAATTTAGAAATACAGTGTTCATTTTAAGAGAATCTGCTTTTAATCCATAAATTGTCTCACAAGATAGATTTATTAGGTTAAGATTGAGGGACCCAATTAGGATTGCAATTTGCTATATATTACTGTTCATTCTCATTCCGCTGCACTTCTGAGACCCAAGTATACCAGGAATGTGTCATATTTTATGAAATGCACATTTGGAACTTTTGTGTGTGTGTTTGGACAGTAAGTGTGAAACATTACACAAGAAGCATACAAATGTCTCGTGATAATAATAAAAGTTCACAAACGATATTTGCTTAAATACTAAAGATATAGGTGCTGGGGGGGCCTGGGTGGCTCAGTCAGTTAAGCGTCCAACTTTGGCTCAGGTCATGATCTTGCAGTTTGTGGGTTCGAGCCCCGCGTCAGGCTCTGTGCTGACAGTTCAGAGCCTGAAGCCTGTTTCAGATTCTGTGTCTCTTCTCTCTGTCTGTCCCCTGCTCTCGCTCTGTCTCTTTCTCTCTCAAAAATTAACATTTAAAAAAATCGTTTCAAAGATATAAGTACTTTAAGTAGCTTTAAATATGCCATTTAACCATTGCTCGCTTTTTTCTCCCCCCGAGAACTATTAACAGATGAAAGTATATGAAATAAACAATGTCATGATTTGGTCTCCTTGCTGCAGTGTGTTTCAGATCATATTATAAAATCAAAAATGAATCTGAAGTTTTATTTGTTTTTGTTATTTTTTTTGATAGTTAAATAATACCATGGTATGTGGATAGAGAGGTATCACCAGTGGCTTTGATGCGGCATGCCATAGCATGCCAGAGAGAGACTTTTCTCCAGGTGAGATGTATGGCTACCCATGTCTGCCTGATTCTTCGAGGCTTTTGTTGATAAGAACTATCAGGTCAGAGGAACACAAAAGAAAAAGATCATATGTTAGTTATGAGAAATAAATGGTTAACTGATAATTAGTGAATCTGGTTTCAGCAGATTGGCCTTAGAGACAGATGGTCAGAGTAAGTCTCTAGTAATAATTAATGATTGAAAAACTTAAAGTGACTTTTTTTTTTAAGTTCAAAGAGTGTTAGATAGGGGCACCTGGGTGGCTCAGTCAGTTAAGCGTCCGACTTTGGCTCAGGTCATGATCTCTCGGTTCGTGAGTTTGAGCCCTGCATCAGGCTCTGTGCTGACAGCACGGAGCCTGGAGCCTGCTTTGGATTCTGTGTCTCTCTCTCTCTCTCTCTCTCTCTCTCTCTCCCTCACTCAGGGTCTGTCTGTCTCTCTCTCT